TGAATGAAATCTGCCCTGAGTTCACTGATCCTTTCTTCTGCTTCATTTAGTCTACTGTAGAACCTGTTATATTTTTAGTTCAGTTATTCTACTCTTCAGCTCTATGACTTCTACTTGGTACTTTCTTATATTTTCTATTTGTTGAAATTCTCAGTTTGCTCATGCATTGTTTTGCTGACCTTGGTGAGACTCTTTATGACTGCTATTTTGAACTTATTTGTCTTTGTTGCATTAGGCCTTTCTCTGAGGTTTTCGTATTCTTTAATTTGGAATATATTCCTCTGGTTCTTTTTGACTCTGTGTGTTTGTTTCTATGCAGCCACTTCTCCCAGTCTTTAAGGAGTGACCTCATGTAGGAAATGAACTTTCTTTTAAAAGATGTTGACAAGGACTCTGGGTGGCTCAGTCAGTTAAGTGTCCGACTCTTGATTTAGGCTCAGGTCATGATCTCATGGTTTGTGAGATTGGGCTCTGCATCCGGCTCTGCGCTGACAACGTAGAGCTTGCTTGGGATTCTCTGCCTCTCCCCAACTTGCTTGCGCATACTCGCACTCACTCTCAAAATAAATAAACATTAAAACAAAAAAAAAAACTATTTAAAAATAAAAGATTTGATTAAAAAATGCACTCAATTCCATTCAAAGAATGCATTCCCCTTGTTAATGCTTTGTAGATGCCATTATTACCCTTCTGTTAAGTATGCATGCTTCTTATTGCTATTTCTAATGCTAGGAGCACTATGATCTTACCTTTCATGTATAGTTGCATATACTATTGCAAGAATAGTGGTATTATATTAATAGAATCATAACAGTATGAAACTTTTTATCTGTTCTCAGTAATTTAAAGTGATTGACTTATGCTTTGTTTCTAGGTTATTGAAATACATACACAAAAATTTTAAACGAAAAAATTTTAGAAGAACTTTCTTTTTAAAGTTTTTGTTGTTACTTTCGTATTTGATTTATTTAACTAGACACAATAAATTTAACATCTGTAGCATAAATCCTGTTGTAATAAAGATATAGGCAGGCTAGTGTATAAAAATTGGACAAGGTACCTTATTAGAAATTTTTCTGTCTTATAATTTATGGGGACACGTTTAATTGCATTTGTGGTATTTAAATTAAAGTTTATTTTGAAGACATGTAAAATGCTTTCAAAAAATTGTACTGTATTTCAAAAAAAGGGGTCTTTTTTTACCCTAGAATTCTGTACCTGTACTTGTCTTAGTGATCTTGCCCAGTCCCATGGTTATGCATGTAATGAGTGTGCTCACTAATCCCTAACTTCTTTCAGCTCATAATTCTTCCCTGACCTTACAACTTATATTTCCAATTGCCTACTCAACCATACTACTTGACATATCAGACCTAATATATCCAAATTGAATATCTTACCCTCCCCAAACAGAAATTGGTAAAACCTGCTCTACCTTCCATGGTCAGACCCTTCTCTATAATGGCAAATCTGTCCTTCCATTTGCTCAGTCCAGAAACCTTAGGCTTCTCCTTGACTTCTCTTCTGCATCATATTTGTAAACAAATCTTATCACCTTCAGAATATATCTAGCATCTGACTTCTTCTCCTGACCTCTATTGTGTTGCCACCCTGGTCCAACTCATCGTTACTTTTTTTGTGGATTATTTCTGCCTGCTTCCGTTCTTGGTTGCCTACAGTCTTTTTTCATCAGCTCAGGTGACCTGTTAAACAAAAACCAGATCATGTCATGTCTCTTCTTGGAATCTTTCAGTGGTTGGTTCCTCATTTTTCCCAAAATAAAAATCAAAGGTTTTTCACTGGCTCAGTGGCCTTACACAATATGTTCCCTATACTGCCTGCCTTTTCTGACTTCATCTTTTACTACTTTCTGCCACCTTGGCTCTCTTGCTTTTTCTCACAGAAGACACCATCTGCCTCAGAACCTTTGCACTGACTGAAACAACTGTGGATGTCTATGAGATACAATCTTTCACCTCCTTCAAGCCATTGCTCAAGTATCACCTTTTTTCCATGACTCTGTACTCTGCTCCATTTGAGATCTCAGCCTCCTTTCCATTACCATGCTGAATTTGTTCTCCAAAGCACTAGTCAAATTCTAATATACAATATTGTGTAACCTGCATGTTATGCTTAACTTTATCTTTTACCTCCTAGTAAAAGTTATATGAAAAGACCTGTTTTGTTTTTTGGTTTTTTTACTGATTCATCATTATCCAGTGCACAAACTGTGCTTGGTTATAATTTTTGCTACATGAATGATTGCATGAAAAAGTGTTATTTGTGAAACTCCTGTATAGTGTTTGTGTGTGTGTGCATGCATGCAGGTGCTTTTTGGGGGGGATAGAGTTGTGTATGTTTATATAGTAAAACTGCTAACATGACTTTTTAATCAAAATACTTTCTCTTAAATTGGGTTTGTGGAATATATGATATATATTGGTGAAGTCACAGCTATCTTTTCTTCATTTGAGCTATTTTGTATATGGGACAAAAGACAGCATTTCTAGATATTTAGATCAAAACAACAAATGTTTTTAAAGCCATTTTTCAACTTTAAGAATGATTGTGATAGGGGTTCCTGGGTGTCTCAGTTGGTTAAGCAATTCAGGTCATGATATCACAGTCTGAGTTCTAGTCCCACGTCAGGCTCTGGGCTGACAGCTCAGAGCCTGGAGCTGCCTCAGATTCTATCTCCCTCTCTCTCCGCCCCTCCCCCACTCATGTTCACTTGCTCTCTTTCTCTCAAAAATGAATAAACATTAAAAAATCTTTTTAAAAAGAAAGAATGTGATAAATATCTATAGGTTAGTAACTTGGAATTTTTTAGAGACAATTATTACCTGGAAATGTATAGAGATATTGTGGACTTTGAAAATTAAAGTGTTTAATGTTAGTAATCCCATTCTAAGCATATAGAAATTTTCCTTACTCTTTTTTTCTAAAAGTTTAAACATATGCTTTTTCATACAATTTTGGATAGAGAAATAATCTGCTGGATGGAATGTTGTGTCAGACAGCTATGGCACTCATACCCTCATATTAGTCTAGAGATTGTACAACATACGGTCCTTATAGGATAAACTTATCTGTTAATTCTTTCCCCTATTAAAGGACTATTTCATAAGTACCCTGAACCCAACGAACTAATGTCTTAAGCTTAATATATTTCCCAAATCCAGATTTTTTTCTTCTGACACATAGTACTAGTCCCAAACATTTCTTATTTATTCTTTTGTAGAAAATTGCCTGTTTCTTCACTGATTTAAATTTAGTCTTATATAGGAACATATTAATCAGATTTGCTAGCTAATTATTAGTCACATTCAATATGGCCAAATTGGTAAAAATAGAAAACACTGGAATTTTGCAAAGAATGATATTACAGTATTGTGAAAATACCTCTCAGGGTCAGTTTTCATTGTTAAAATGCTAGATCTAGAGTAGCTTAATCTGTGTTGCCTTTCCTCCACAATTCTAATAAGATAAGCAGTCACAAATCTTAAGAAAATTTAGGATGAATTCTGGATTCCAATTACATAATCTCGTTATGCCTGTAAGCATAGATCTTCAGCCAGATAAAGATGTATCATTCAAATGGTTTTTTGATTCATTCACATGCAGTTACAAAGGAATTTCAGAAACCATGTGACTTTCTGTGAGATTAAATTTTGTAGGATATAAAGTTTTCCCTGGAAGGAAATACACTTGTTATAGAGCTTAATTCACTTTTCTTTTTTAAGTTTATTTTTGAGAGAGAGACAGTACACAGTGTGGGGTGGGGACAGAGATAGAGGGAGACACAGAATCTGAAGCAGGCTCCAGGCTCCAAGCTGTCAGCATAGAGCCCAACATGGTACTCAAACCCATGAACTGCAAGATCATGACCTGAGCCGAAGTCGGATGCGTAACCAAATGAGCCACCCAGGCACCCCAGACCTTAATTCATTTGTAACCAGCTTGTGAGTTATTAAATATAAATAGATTTTTTTAGAGTTTATCAAACAAATTCAGGTAGAAAGCTACAGTGTTGAATATCTGTTACTAAGAAAACTGCTTTATATTTATTTATTTACAGAGTCTTATCTCAACCCATGGTAACAGCAATCTTCTTTTATTCTAGCCATAGATAATATGGGGGTGGGGGAAGGACCTTCATAGTGCATTGTATACTATTTAAGCAGTCAGCATGCTGAAGTAGTTTCTGAATTGAGACTAAATAAATGTAGTTTTAAGGGGGAGGAAAAAAAAGAATCTCTTCAAGTCACATGTTTATTGATCTTGTGATTTCACAAAAGGAAAAAGTGTTAATTAAAACACCTAGACATCACTGGAAACTACAGAGTTTATGGCAAGTTTTTGTTTTGTTTTGTTGTGTAGCTAAAAATCTGACTTATAAGCTGAAGTGACCTAGGTACTATTAAAATATCCTATATACTCTTGGTGCACTCAGAATTTTCTTACAATGAATATTTTGTAATTTTATAATAAATTTAGGAAAGAGATTTATTTATCAAAGTCACATCATAGACTTTTGGCTTGAATTCATCATATTCACTGCTTGGAATACCATACACTGAGAGAAGTGTGTTTAGCTATGTTTCAAATGACAGAAAGTGGGGATGGACTTATGATCTTATTATCTTGTGTTTTATTAACCACAAGAAAAATGGGGTGTGGGCATGAGAGGTATAGATTTGCTAATACACTCTGAATACATCAACAAAAATTGATGCATCAACCATAAAGCAGCTGCTTTAGGTTTACCATGTTTTACCCCAACTATCAACTTTCTTAGCAAAGATGATATTTGTTTTTTCCTTTGCTGTCATCCACTCTAGACGCAGTATGGGTTGTTTTAAAATAAAGACTTCACCTTCCAAGGGTTGGGGAAGGACAGATCCAAAGTATTCAGAGCCTGTATTCCTGGGTACCTACCTGACTGCATTTTGCTTTTAGCATTAACAACATTCTCTGCTTTCTAATTCTCTTTATTCTAGTCTATGCAAGGGAAACTTTCTAAAGAAAAATTGACTACTCAAAAGATGATGGAAGAGTTGGAAAAGAAAGAAAGAAACCTACAGAGATTAACAAAAACATTGCTTGATGTGAGTAAAAAAAAATTCAAATTGCTATCAAAGAATGATTCAGTACTTAAAGCATGTGCTTATTTTGTACATATTCATGGAATGTTTTTAGTTGAAGACTAGATTAATTAAATCCATTAGGTTTCTTACAAAATTATAACCAAAAAGATAAACTTTTTTTTTCTTATGTCTTAGAATACAACTTCACATACTTAACTACAACAGTAAAATGTTATATAGACCATAAATTGAATATAAACAAAATTGTCCTTGAAAATCCTTAAGGAAGGTGCAATATTAACACTTCATCATTGGAACAGATTATACTTTCTTCATTTAATTATAAGCTGGTATACATGGCTCGCATTTAAGGACATGTTATACAGAAAATACTTACTGTAGGTTTTTAACTCTAATCGTGACAATTTGCCTCTAAATACCCAAGAATGCATCTTCAAAAATTAGGGACATTTCCTGTATAAACATACTACCATTGTCACACCCAATAAGAATAATGTTCCTCCATATTGGATGATACCTACTTTATACTAAAATTTCCCCATTTCTTTGGGAAATTCAAATGCTTTTTATAATGATAGTTGAAACCAGCATTCAGTCAAAAAGGCCATGACTTGTGTTTCATTTTATCTTATAAATCTAAAGTTTCTCACTTTGTCCATGTTAGTGGCTTGCTGACAAACCTGGGCCTGTTGTCTTAAGAGTTATAGATTGTCATACCTTCTAGATTTGTGTGATTGCTTCCTCATGGTGTCATTTATCTTCTTGTCTACCCTTAGAAGCTAGAAGTAAGAGCTAAAGATGTCAGTTAAGTCAAGTCAAACATTTGATTCTTCATATCATCAAATTATATATGTTTTGTTATCCCACTGTACGTGACAGAAATACTGAGCTCAGTGGGTTAAAATGGTAACAGACTGATTCTTTCCTTTGTTACATTATAGCCTCTGCAAACAGCAGGTAGTGTGGAGTGCTACTTAGGTAACTGTGAATATGCAATTTATTAGCACCCTTTTCCTTGATAGTTTTTGTATTCACTGATGATAATTGTCTGGATCATTACATGATTAAAATCATATTTTTTCCTAATTATTTGTATATTGATTAGCTGGCATTCATCTTTTAAAAAATCTTTTCCTCATCAGTGCAGGCTATTTGGTTCTTTTGAAATAGAGTTCCAATTGGAAAGTTTTGTATAACTTCTAATTAGCAGTTTTCAGGATGAATAGATAGATGGTGATAGTTTTGGGGATAAGGTGAAGGTAGCTTTTTCTGAGCATGATAATTTATGAGTTCATATTGATATATTCAATTCAAGATTTCACAGTTCAAGCTTATTAGGGGTTTGTTTCCGTTTATGATTTTATACTTGTATTTCTTTTTCTCTTTTGCTGAAACTTTTGCTACTTGTCAACATTAACAAAACATAAAAACTTTTTCTTTCAATAAAAACTATGCAATAGTTTCAAAGTAACTAAATCATGATCACTGCTAATAGTAAAACTATAAAATGAGGTTTAAAATTTCTTCATAATTCTTTTTGTTCTTGGAATAAATCTCATTATTAAAAAAAAAAACGTACACAACCCAGATGCTTATCAGGCGACGTTATATGGTATGAGATGCTCCTAGAAACTGAATCTGGATTTGTTGCCTCTCTCAGGGCATGAGATGGCACAGAGGAACCACTGAATCATTTCCACTGTTTACATTCTTTTTTTTTTTTCTGACTGTGTGTATGCAGTTAACCTTGGTTATTGTGAATGTAATAGGACTCTACCATTTTGTTTATAGATGGTGGAAAGTGTTAACCTGTATGGCTTTGAGTACCTTAAGGCCTCTGTTCTAACAACCTGATTTTTGTTTTCTTTATGCATTGCAGAACCAAAGACAAACAGAAGAGACGTGCTCTTTATTGGATCAGGGCCAGGAAGGAGACCAATGCAGGCAGCAGACAGTACTCACTAAATGGCCACTATCTGATTTGAGTGTGATTGATCAGCTGTTCAAGGAAATGTCCTATTGTTTGTTTGACTTGAAGGCATTGTGTAGTATTCTGAATCAGCGTGCTCAGGGCAAGGAGCCTAATCTTTCATTATTACTGGGAATCAGATGTAAGTGGCTGATGCCTTGTCCTTACTGTATTGCTTAGCAGTTAGAGACCTGTCTTCATAAATCAGGAATTTCTGACTTCCTTTTCTCTATTTGTTTTTATGTCCTTTCCTACTTAGATTTATAAATCTCTGAATAAATCTGTAAGTGTGTGAATACCTGTTATTACTTCATTATGGTTATAGAAGTGAGCAGGGCCATAGTTGATTTGTACTGCCACTTGGCATACTGTCTGCAAATCTGCCTGTGTGGATGAGCTCTGCGGAATCTGTTACTATGTGACTGGAGTGGCAGTTAGGGGTGCCTGGTTACTCTTCTAAAAGTAATGATTCGGTTTGCTTTCATGTGGTCATTCTCTAAGTTAATGACCCAGCCATCCATGTGCTGTAAACTGTTTGAGAGAAGATACTCATTTGCTTTCCTTTGCAGTGTATGTTCTATGGCAGTGACTTAATACAAGTACCAGTGCTGTCATCAGAGCTAGTTTTCATGGCCCATGTTTCATAGCCCTTGTCATGCATACATTCTGGCTTTGTCCCTTTCAGTGTGTCACCACCCATTGTCCCTCAGTTCCATCTTCCTCCACACATAGTTGTGAGAGAGCAGCCCCAGCAATATCCTGGAGTCCGTCTGTGCTGCTTTTGCAGAAGCACTCATCTCTGCTTGTGGCTCTAAATCATTAAGATATTGACATATGTTGGTCTCTTTTTAATACAGAAGAAATGGACATAAGGGCATATGAATGGAGTAGGGCCTTAAGTTTTACACACCTACTGTGTTGTACTGAACAATTATCTAATAATATGGTTAATATATGACTAGACGGAACTGGTTTTATTTGTAGTTTCATCAAAAAGATTCCACCACCTGGCATCATGATACTTATTTTGGCAAACCAAGTAATACTTTTGATCAAAGTATATCCCTTTTTAAATGAAGCAGTAACTTTGCTCAGAGATGTCAGCAGAGTTTTTCCTTCCACTTCATACATGTGTATATACATACATGAGTGTGGGTATGTAAAAATCACTTGAAAGTTTAAGTATATTCACTCACCCAATAAGCAATTTTTATATGCCTCATATAGTCCAGGTACTAGGATGCTGATAATGCAATTGGATGCCGCCCTTGCCCACACATAAACTACGAGAGCATTGTGATAGGAGCTATACTTGAGATATGGACAGAGGACAGTGCGGGCCCAAAGGGAAAACTGATCAAGTCTAGCTGGGAAGACTCTGTGGGTAGCTGGTGTTTGGCTTGAATCTTAGAGGAGGAGAGTTTGCCAGGTGAACATGGGGTAGCTAAGTTAGCAGTGATCTCTCGAGCAAGAACCAAAAGCTCACACACAAAAGACTCATTTTCTTCACCGTATTAGAGCTGGTCGTCCCTCCAGTTATTTTGTAACCTCTACATTTGTATTCTCCTGTACGGCATTGGTCAGCTTTTCCAGTTACCATATTAAGAGAGCTTTCCAAATGTGAGTGAAAGGGAGACTCAAGAAGTTTGCCACATTCACCTCCCAGCGTATATCCCTCCCAGTGTTTAAAGTTTAACCCTCTTCTCCTTACCTAATAGTTTGGTCCTGTGAAAATCTGACCAGCCAGTTCATTTGTCAAAACCAATGGATTATTTTGAATCCTTATCTCCTCACTCCATCCACTGTCCGTTGACGCCGTTCATTCCACCCTTCTTTTTTGTAAATGCGCTGCTACCACGGATTCCATGACTTTCCTCTCTGGGTTCTGCTTCTCCCTTTATGACTGCTGAGTCCCTTCTTCTGTGGAATTCTCTGCCACTTAAATATTGGTGTCTCCCATAAATCTTCTGTTGTTGATTTTTTTGTTTTGATTGTGGGGTTTTTGGTACTGAGTTGTATAGGTTCTTTATATATTTTGATATTAACCCTTAATCAAATATATCATTTGCAAGTGTCTTCTCCCATCCAGTAGATTGTCTTTTGTTTTATTGGTGGTTTTTGTTTTGCTGTGCAAAAGCTTTTTATTTTGGTGTAGTCCCAATAGTTTGATTTTGCTTTTGCTTCCCTTGCCTGAGAATACATATTTAGAAAAATGTTTCTGTGGCCAATGTCAAAGAAATTATTGCCTGTGTTTTCTTTCAGGAGTTTTATGGTTTCGGGTCTCACATTTAGGTCTTTAATCCATTTTGAATTTATTTTTGTGTGTGGTCTAAAAAAGCAGTCCAGTTTCATTCTTTTGCATGTAGCTGTTCAGTTTTCCTGACATTTGTTGAAAAGACTGTTCTTCTTCCCCATTATATATTTTTGTTTCTATTGTCAAAGATTAATTGACCACATAAGCATAGATTTATATCTGGGCTCTCTGTTCTGTTGATCTATGTGTCTGTTTTTGTGCCAGTACCATTCATACTGTTTTGATTACTTTGATTAGCTTTGTAGTAATACACCTTGAAATCTAGGATTGTGATACCTCAATCTTTGTTGTTCTTTCTTAAGATTGCTTTGGCTATTTGGGATCTTTTGTAGTTCCATACAAATTTTAGGATTGTTCTAATTCTGTGAAAAATGCCGGCATTTTGACAGGGATTACGTTAAATCTGTAGATTGCTTTCAGTAGTTTGGACATTTAGTTCTTCCAATTTATGAGTTGGAAGTCATCTTTCCATTTGTTGGGGTCGTCTTTAATATCTTTCATCCATGTTTTATAGTTTGTGGTGTACAGTTTTCACCTCCTGGATTAAGTATATTCCTAGACACTTTATTCTTTTTGGTGCAATTGTAAATGAGATTGTTTTCTTAATTTCTCTTTCTGCTGTCTCATTATTGGTATATAGCCTTCAACATATTTCTCTATATTTCTGTTATTTTGTATCCTGTGACTTTATTGAATTCATTTATCAATTCTTTGGTAGTCTTCAGGACTTTCTGCAAAAAGTGTCATCTGCAAATAATGAGCATTTTACTTCTTCCTCAACAATTTGGATGCTTTTGTTTCTCTTTTTGTATATTTTTCTCTGAGTAATCTTATCCATGTTCTTTAGTTTTCTGTTTGCACCTTACCTTTGACCCATATGGACATTTATCTCTTACCCTGCCTAGAATGTTCCTACTGGGCTCCTGACTATACTAACCTTACATTAGAACCAACCTATGGAAGCATAGGCATCATAGACTCACTACATCTAAAACAGACCTATCTTTCTTCCCTCCCTAAACCTGCTCCTCCTCTCAGTGAGTACCACCACCATCCACCTGTCCTAGAATTTTATCTTGCATCCTACTCTTTCCTTTAGCTGTGTGTGTCCTGTGCCCAATCCCTATCCCAACCCAACTCATGATGGTTGAGCTCCATCATTTCTGCCAGTCCCTTCCTAGCATTCATTTCTACCATTACATCTCCATTGCACTACTGCCTTCAGTGAAGCTTTCAGAGTCTTTTATCTGCACTGGTTTCTTTGTCAACCGTCTAGCCCACTTTCCCCCACGAATCCATTTTTTCACATTGCTGCCAGAGTTAATCTAACCTAATGGTGATTCTGATTTCCTAATGCTTACAACCCCTAAAATAGAGATGGGCAACTCCCTCCTGCTGCTTCTAGCCTTTATTTCTTGGTACTTTCCTCTCATAATTTGTACTCTGCCATTTTAGAGCTGGTTACTGACTTTTTTTTTGAAGTTTCTTAGATTCTTTGGTTTTCTGCTTTTATACATGCCTTTGTTCATTCTGCTTCCTTGGCTCATCCAGTGAACCTGTATCTTTTCCAGTTACGCTGGTTATCCTCTCCCTTCTGCCACTGTAGCGAGGAACTGATGAAAATAATTAAAAGCTAGCTGACTCAGGACCTCACCTTCAGTTACTCAGCCATTGGGCAACTAGCCATCAGTTCAAGTCAATTGTGTGGGGTTGTAGGGTTTCAACTCAATGTATATATATATTATACTTAGCATATATTTTGGAAATTTATGTTTCCATGCCAATAAACCCACTTTGCAGTCTACAAAAATTTAAGCTATAACCCCTCAAAACATAAGTGATTTTCAGATTTTTGTCAAGTCAGAAGAAATGAATGCTATAGTTGAGCTTGACGAGAGCTATTAGAGCATATTTTTTCCTACTTTGGGAATATTGTCATCCTTTAAACATGTTGAACAGTTGTAATACTGTATGGGTTTAATGCAATTTAATTAGCAAAATTTTTAAAGGACTAAGTAGTAAGATCTATTTAATAGTGGATGACACATCATTTAAACATGAGCCGGTCAGGTGTTCAGCATATAGCATTATATTTCTAATTATAATTAAGTTTAAAAATCCTAAAATTTTTTATTCAGAAGAGTGTGAGACATTCTCTATTTTCTTTCCACAGCAATGAACTGTTCAGCTGAAGAGACTGAGAATGACTACAGCCCAGAAACACTCACTAAAAAATTATCAGATGTATGCCAGTTACGGAGAGACATTGATGAATTAAGGACTACAATATCAGACCGCTATGCTCAGGACATGGGAGACAACTGCATTACCCAATGATCAACTATTGGTCCCACAGCAATAATGACCCATTGTTAAATGCTGCTGTGTTACAGTTCTTCATATGTCTTTTTAGAAGCCATAATGGAAAGTCTCAAGTGACATATCACTTACACATAGGATTTTTTTTTCTGTAAATTTGTTTTACTGGGGGGAGAAAAGGGATTTGATGATGTTTCAAAGGGGCTTATCTAATCAGGCCAAAAAAAAGTGAATTACTATTTGAAAAATGTGATAAAGTGTTTAAGAAAAAAAATTTGTATTCTCAAACTACTGATTGTAGGACCAAGCTGTGAAGAATGCCCTTCAGATAATGGGGTAGGATTTCTTTTTGTCTGTAGTTGTGTGTGTGTGTGTGTGTGTGTGTGCGCGCGCATGTGTGTTTATTCACAAAATTATAAGGCTTTCTAAGGTCAAAGCAAAGCTTCTGAGAAAGGCACACACTGTTTCTTCTTGTATTTCTTTTCTTTCATGTAGAAGTTTGTGTTGTACTTTGGGGTTTTCAAGGGCTGGCTGAACAAGAGTTCTGACAGCAGGCAAGTGTGGCAGTAGTACAGCTGGCAAAACCGTTTGTATTTTGAACAACCACTGTGCTGAGATGATGAGGTTGTGGGATTCGGTTGATTTTAGTACTGTAGATAAGTCAGCTATTTTTCCAGAGTGAATGTGGATGGCATTAGAGGTATGAAATCTCAATGCGATGATCTTTTTCATTAGCATTGTTAATTTATATATCACAAGGCATTTTAACATCATCTAAACTAATTTTAACATGTCCCTTACTATTTACAATTTTTCACTTATATTTATCAATGTAAACAAAGCCATAAAGAATTAATACAAACCTTCTAAGGCCGTTGTAAAAGAAGGATTAACTGAAAAGTCACTCTGGAACAATAGTTTATTTATCCAATTCTTAAACGTTTACATTTAAGAGTTTTGTATATGTTTTAAAGTTAAAACTACTTTAAGAAAAAGCCAGCCTGTATTCTTTATACCTGAATTATCACTAACATAAAATCTAAACCAAGTGATGTTTCAATTCCATTTATTAGGTAAAGTACATTAAAAACAGGGTTTTTCATAGATTACAAACTTGACCAGGTTAGTTCTTCTTCAGGAATACAGGATATTGCTAGGAAATGCAACTGATTGTTAAGGAGACACACACAGTTATTTAAACCTCCAAATGAGTATAGTCCTGTTTTAGTTGATATTTTGGAAGGACTATATATTTTACTACCTTCAGAGCATTTATTGCATTCTCTTGAATACACTCATAGGAGTCATTGTCCTTTACAAACTGGTTTGTTTTCTTGATGCAACCAGGTCTCATATAGGTCAAGACTAAATAAGAGTAGAAGGAATAAGGGGTTTGAATCAAGCAGGATAATACTGTTTTGGGCAAGAACAGATCATATGTCTGGGTTGTTTTGTTTTGTTTTGTTTTTGTTATTGCCAGACTTAAATACTGCTCCTAGAGAAGACTTTTCTTAAATATGTTCAGCAGTGAAAACATATGTGGGATAAGAACTTTAAGGAAACTACCTAGGAAGACATTCAGTTCAGAATTTGGTTTACATGCAGTGCTCAGTAAGTTATTTTAAGGTTATGTTGCAACAGTCAGTTATAATACATTGTAAGGACATCAGACTTTCCTTCCGTTCAGTGCCTGAGTTTTCCTTGCTCTTACTTCTTAGGATATGGGCACTAAGAAATCAGTGCATTATAGTGATTCTGCATCCCAAGGTCCCTACCTTAATAAGGAAAAGTCACTGGTAAGAACGTGGCATTCTAATGTGTTCATTTGTTTTTTTAATATTGGTGGTTTGAAGACAATCAGGGAGTGGTAAATTTATACCAAAAATCTGATGCAAAGAATTCTGCCTTGTAAAAATATCTGTAAAAATGGGCCTTTACAGTAAAGTAGATAATAATATCTGAAAGAGATAAGAGATGTGCAGCATACATTTTTACATTCTCTCTGAATAGAAATCCTTACCCTTATCCCCCAACCTCCACGGTTTTGGAAATAAAGGCACCCGTAGGTGATAGTACTAATGCACATAAATAATCACTGATCTGGGTCACTAGGTTCTTACTTAATGTCGTTGAGGTTTTTTAGTATGTTTCAGGTTTTATGGTTATTGTTGTTTTAAACAAACTTTTGGCCATTTGTTTTAATAAACTGTAGATCCATTTTTGTTTTCTGGCTTAGGATAAAATAATTTGATTTTATAAACAAGTTTTCTAAAAATTACTGAATTTGACTTAATTTACTTGTCTTGAGATAAAAATATTTTAACATAGTAGAAAACTGACTAATACTGATGTATTTCAGTCTCCAACATGTATACTCCTCCACAAATAAAAAAGGGAAATAAGGTATGATAGTTCAGGTATAACCCTGAATTACAAAATGCCATCTCTTGGAGTCTGGAGTTTGTGAAAGGACCTAGGTAATAAGTAGAAAGCCTTGGATGGAATTTTAGGGGAGGAGGGAGTGAAACTAGTCTAGTGGTAGTCTTAATTTGTCAGCATTTAATTTTGATTTTGTTTTTCAGAAAATTGCCCTCTCCCAAGATAACCTCTTGTGTTAGAATGCAGTAATAGTGATATCTCATTGAAAGCAAAGATTTTACTGTTAAGTCAAGTAAGATGGGCAGATAGAAACACTGTAGTGTCTTATCCTGGTTCAAACTGGGGTGTTCTTAGAAGTTATTATACTGATATATATCTCAGATGAAAATTAACCTAAATTTTGAAGTTAAATCTATTTGAGAATTTCCTTATATGTGAAAAAATTTTAATTATGCTTTTGTGTGAATTAAATGCTTATCTTCTTAGGAAATGTCTTATGCAGTGTTAACATTTATTATTGATCTTCTGGGTTTTGAACTTGAGTTTATTCTGCCGCAGTCACACTAAAGCAAGGATAAAGTAACAGAGTCTCAATAAAAGACCCAATTACCTATGCAGATAAAATTAACTGAATCAAAGGCACAGTAGTTGTCTTTTCATTTGATGTCCGAAAAGGATGACTTTAGTTAAACTTAGTAAATTTTCAGTAGCCTCTAATTTTAAAGCTTAAGTGTTGACTGGGTAAGTCATGCCTGATTTTTTTTTAAATGTGGCCCCTTTTTATGTTTGAAATGGGGTTCAGTATTTACTATTAACAATATTATTTTTTAGTGAAATTTATTTTGGTCATGACAGTTTATTAAACTGAATTAGACTTCTTTCAGTAGCTTGTTAGAGACAATCTCAAGGGCTGTAAAGTGTTGCTAAAATGGGTATTGTACATTTCTGACTCACCAATGAGCTTATAAATTAATTTTGTCATAGTTCAAGACATTAATAGAAATCTCTTAGAGGAACTACTGTATTGGAAAAATGTTCTTTCAATATCAGTAATAGTTCATTGAATAACTTAGCAGCTGAGAACTTGGACTATATTTTTACATAGCATAGTTCAGCTCCAAGCACACCTTTAGTTTGGATTATTGGCATTCTCTTATGTAAATTTCTATCATTGTAGATATGTAATTATATTAAGAAGCAGTTCTCATAACCATGCTCAGACTATATCATTTGAAACTGCCAGTAGCTATAGCTCTCAGAGCCAAAGTTGATTCATTTTGTTTCCATTTTGGACAAATTTCGGTGTTCAGAAAACAAGTAATATGGTTTCCTATTTGATATAAAGAGTATAATTTCTAACTTACCCCAAGATCCATGGTGGTATCTTACTGTATGATAATATTATACATTTAATCATGAAGGGAGAAAGCTTTTGGATTTTTAGGATTTTCTTATTTAAAAGTATTGAGTATATTAACATAGTTGCAAGCCAATAATTCTTTAACAACACTTGCAGCTGCATACAGAGAGAACCTTTTGTGCCTTTTTGCCTGCAGTAAGCATTCATTTCTATTTTACATGAGTTATAAGAATGTTGATGATTATTGCACCTTGTTCTTCTGTAAATAGACCTGATTAAGGATTTTTTTTTTCTTAAGCAAGGAGCAGTTTTTCATTACTAGGTAAATACTTTAGGAAACTTGAGAGGAGGGTATTGGATATGTCTTTGGAGCCCAGCCCTTTCCCAGTGTAGTGAGCAGGAAACTCCTTCAGAATGTAGTTATTTGTGTGTATATGTGTGTACATATTTGTATAAATATTTAAATACAGAAACATAATATCTGGCGTCACATTGATGTGATGACAAGAAGTAGTAAGGTGCTAGGTGGTTACATTAAAAGCACAGCAGAGTGTATAATCAGTCACTATGACTGGTGGTTTTTGTAAACTAGGTTCAGTTTTTGAACCACCCAGAATACCTCATGTGTAAATACAATGGTCATGACCTAATTGGAATACAGTTATTGTAAAAAGAATGTGAAGCCACTGGTTGGCTTATGCCTTCTGATCTATCATTCTTGCCTCTTTTTTTGTAAAGGGGTTTTTTTGTTTTTGTTTTTTAATAGGGTTTACAGCTAGAATTTTGAATGCCAAAGTTCTATTTATTAAATTAAAAAAAAGTTTTCAATGTTAATGGCTAAGTATTTTTCCACTGGACTATTGTTTGTGATGTTGGAATTTGTATTTACAGAGAAATAAATTTTTTATAAAAAGATGAATGTCTTCCAAGTGCCTAATGTTAATATAAGAATGTATTGGAAACTGGAGACTCTACTGAATTCTCAATGATAAGAGTATGCTGACTTCACTTTCAGGTAAAATCTTCCTATAAATACACAAGAGAATCTTTGACTAGAGCCTGAATTTTTCTGCTTTCAGTCTCTCTTACAATTCCTTTTTAGTTAACTGAGGAAAAGTTTTTTCTCAGGGCCTTGCCATGAAGGGTACTGAGATTTTCTGATGACAGGTGCCATAAGTACCAAAGCATGCCTGGATTTATTTTAGCTAATAGTGCTGTGTCCTCCTTTTGAATTTTAAAATCTCCATTTAAATCAACAGTCTTCCTTCTACTTTTCCAACAGACACAATTCATTTCAGTTTTCCCTGTTGCTGAAAGGTTGGACTGTCAAGTTAAATCTTTTTTTCCCTCCCCCTTTGATCAGAGGTTGAAACCTTACTGAAATATACACAA